AGCTCCAGGCTGGGCGAGAGTCTAGATTTGCTGAAATAAATTTAATAGTAGACGTGGGCATGGAAGCAGACTTTCCTAGATTTCCTGGAGGCCCCATGGAGTGACACAGGCCAAGTAAGGAGGTGACTGCCCCTTGTATCTCCTGATGATATCATCCTATGAGCAGCCAGCTGTCTAGGTAGGAAAATACAGGGACGCACAGGTGCATTGCCATCACAGCATGCTGTTTGTAAGAGCCTGGGGAGCCTCTTGTTTTGGAAATGCTCTAGGCCCACCATAAACCCAGCACTCTCCTGTTGGCTGGGAAGATAGGCATATGAAAATAGGCATCTTTCAAACACGTCACTTTCATTCAGGGAGGAGATGGCGGCAGCTGGGATAATTATCCTGAATCTTGAATTGCAGAAGACGACATTCAGCTACCTGAGGTTCAGGATGGGTGTCCAACTCCTTCTCTTTGGGGATTAGGAAGTATTTGGCATTAAAGTCCGTCCCCTTATAACTAGATGGTCCTGGCTCCATAGCCCAAATGAATGAGAGAATCCAGGTCCGGCCTGAGAACATGTCTAAGAACGTGGCAGGGGAAGGAATTTGATCCTGTTGTTCAGGATGCAGTGTCATCTAAAAACCCACGTGTCTGATGCCACGCGAGAAGGAAACGTGCTAGGCAGGCACCAAAAAGGTAGGAGACCAGCTGTGCATAGACTGGTTGATGACTTTTGAGTTTCCCAAATTATTTTCTTGGGAGGCTGCTGGATCTGAGGAGGGGATAGTAGTGGTGTGGGTGTGCCAGCCTGGCTGCCTCCAGGGCACTCTCAGTGGATTATAGGGCTTCTGATGCCGGTAGGTCCAAGGGGTTGGTGGGGATCCATGCGGCAGCACCTTAGAACATTTCCGGAGAGTCTTTCCATTCCCACCGAGTGGAGGTTGCCACAGCATCATAACCAGAGAGAAGAAACTCCTTGGTTTCCTTGCTGAAAGGGGAGAACTCTGTTGCGCTCAAAAGGGAGCTCTAACTGTCACCAGGACCTCTGGGCACAGCCTCAAACTCCTCCCTCAAACAGAGGACACCATGGTCCGGGAAGCCCTGTCCACTGCATCAAGTACCACCTGCAGAGATGATCTGTGACCAGCTTCCCAACACCAGGAACTGGAGCCTAGAGCATATTGTAATTAGTCAGACTTGAACACAAGTACCGGGTAATTCACAGGATGGATAAAAGTGCTTTCTGCTGAAGACGTCTAATCTCCTGGCATCATTGTCCAAAGGAGCAGACTTGGGCTAGTGTAGCTTATTTTGTTCTGTGACCACTCAGACAATCTAAGAATTTGGATACCATGGGAGAACTAATATTCCACAGCCTTAGAAAGAAGAAACAAATGCTTCTTTTCAGCCCTCAGGGGTCAGGGAACAGGTGCCTGCTGGGTCCCACATGCCCTTAGCAGGCTCCAAAATGGACTCGTTTAATGGAAGAGTCTCCTTGGAAGAAACCATAGATTGGAGAACATGTAGGATCCTGGATCACTTCCAGTCGGATCTGGGGAGAAGGATCATATGGCTAGAACAGATCAGGAATCAGACACCCACTGAGCCCTACTTGCACATGATGTGGCAGAGACAAAAACTCAACCACATGCCCTAAACACTAGTGATTCTGCTAGTACACAAGACCAGAGACCACACATAAAGAACAAGATCCAAGATATATCTATGGATAAAACTGAAAGAAGTCCCAAGTAATAATGCAATACTCTTAGAGTGGCCATGCACACTGGAAAAACACCAAGTCTCAAATGCAAGAAAGGGCTCAGGATCGAGCTGGAAGAACCTGCATTTTCTAGTCTAAAAACCTGTAAATGCAAGGCCTCTATCTAGCTGCTCAGCCAGGTTAATTTCACCATTGGGATACTAACTTGGGCAGACATGTCATGAAAGCACATGAGAAGTGTTAGGCTTTGAGTCACAGCCTATGGACTGTCCCACTTCTCTACACAGGGAGAGCTTTTCTTAAACGGTGCAGCACAGTTGGCTCTGTAGCTCCATGGGGGCATTTACAAGCACATGTCTGGCAGCAGAGAAGTGAGTTCTAGGCAAGGAACCCTTTTTGCCATCTGCTGGAGCATTTCAAAGAAGTTTTGCTGCTGCTTTTGTTTCAGAGTGCATCCATTTTGTAGTGACGCACAGGAGGGGCTACCAAAGCCCACTTCGATGACTTGAAACTTGTAGAAGTGGCCTTGAGCTAGTCCCATATGCTACAGCCAAGCAGACAGGGAGATTATATATCAGAACATACAAGAAAGTCAACAAACTACACATAGGGTGGGGTTTTCAACCCAAACGTTACATGCCGCTGCCATGATCACCTTTAGGAAGTGGGACGTAACAGGCAGGTGGATACTCCCACCCTTTAGAACAAAGCATTCTTATAAAGCCAGTTCTTCAGTGATCCACACAAAGCAGGAGTGCACAGGAACCAGGCTGCTGGCTTCTTTGCCAACAGAAGGGCCCACTTTCACTGACAAGTTCACGAGGGTAGAGAATCACAACCTCCTCCAAAAGGCTTTCCTTGCCCACAATGCTTAGAACACTCTCCTGTGTGTAGGCCAACGGCAGGTAGACTACAGGTCACAATACATTGCATCTTCCACGTACATAGCCACCTACTCCCATTAGATTGGGTCAGATACGGCTTTGCACCATATCATATCATAATCCTAGAGGGCAAGCTCTCTGGGGAAGGGACTATATTTGTATGGCACCTAGCAAACTAAGGCCCTGATCCTTGCTTAAGGCTTAAGTGCTAGCATCATGCGACCAACATAACAACTCTGGCCAATTTGCAACTTGGTTGGTCCTCTGTGCAAACTGGACCATACTGTTAATCCTCCTGTGTTAGACCATCTCCCCACCACCATCGATTTTCCTATGCATCTGGGCCAGGCCCACCCTAGGAAACTAATGGCTATGTTGGGAGTCACAAAGCATAGGAGACAAAAGCGGAAAGGCACCAACAAGGTGCCATCTCTTTACTAGTCTGTACTGGAAGCAAGGTTCACGTTACAACGTGCTGGGCATCAGTCTAAGTACAAGGTTTCAACTTTCAAGGCTTCCCGTGGAATCTGAGTCATGGAAGAACAAACATGGGGCTAGACAGTTTCTTACGTCTGCACTGGAGCTAACGTGAAGTAAAGGAGGCTTAGGCATGGAGGGAAGTTTTGCACAATTCAAGATTTAAGAAGAAGCTCATGTTAATTGTAGCACTATGTACAATTGTAAAAAATCACATCCACATAGTATTAGATCATTCAAACGATCAAAATATTAAGCAGAGATTCAGGAAGTAGGTTTCAGGCTTGGGATTCTTATAATCGCTGTAGCTATCCTGTAATGCCAATCACTTCAATTTCCTGAGAACCTCTTCAGACTCCTAGGAGCTCTGTGCAAGCATTACTTTTCCCACTCTTAAAATTACTAACACTATTGCTATATCATTAGACTGATCCTAGCCCAGAGCTCGGGGGGTGGTGGTGGTGGGGTGTTCTTTCCTCCTTTTCCACTTCTTTGAGAAGAGATTAGAACTACTTTCCATTCTGGGGCAAAATAAGAGCGCTCAAGCAGTAATGACACCTGAAACTCAACTCTTTCTGCACCGCATGGACCAAAATGAGTCCCAAGATTAAAAAAAGGTTTCCTTCCTCCTAGCTTTTATAGTCAAACTGACATAATCAGCACAGGCCTGTGGGAGGCACAAGGAAGAGTTTATTTATTAGGTTTGATGTATTGCTGTCCTTTGGATAAATCAAAATGCTTTAAGCCTAGGGGGCCAGCTGGATTCTGCATGCCCTTCTTCAGACTTCATAACATCTAAACCACAATTTCATTCCTGGATTCAAAGATAATCCTCTCTAGGGAGAGGTGGTGAGAACATCCCCTTTCACTGGCAGAAGCCTATTTCAATGTCAATGGTTGTGCTATGAACTCTGGATCAGGAGGTAGTTCTGTTGCTACTTTGTCACCCTATTGGGGAAAAAACATACAAATGAGATCTTCTCGGCTGTAGGCTAGTGCTCAGGAGGCTAACGAGGTATGATGGAGAAATGGGAGACTTACTAGATTGCATTCAAGCCACTGAAGTGAACACTGAAATACGCTAGTACACAACCACAGACAGTACAGCTGTACATACACAGTCTATTGCATCAGTTCAGACATTAGAGAAGTTGTGTTCATGTTGTTTAAACAACTCTCAACTCTGTCCTAGAGGTTAAGAAACCACCCATTAAAAAACCTAAACCTAAAAACTAAGGGGAAAATATGAAAGCTATAAACTGAGGTTAGTTTTGAATGTGATTCAGCCAGCTGTCCCTGCCTTTTAAAATCTTATTCCTCCACAAAAGTAAGGAGATACTGATATAATGAAAGTCTGATGGAGAAGCACACACTTGCTTCAGCTTGAGACATTCTGACAATGTCCCTTACTCCCCTCCATATGCATCAGCCAGGTGGGAGCGCCCTGTTTCAATGCCTGGCTAAAACCCAAGGAGCATGCTTAGAATTCTTTGTGCAGCTGACCCGGGGTGAGTGACTGAGGAAGCGTGAATGGTCCCCACTAGACTTACAGAGGCTGTTCAGAAGCTCATCAACGTAGGCTACAGTCCACAACACTGAACCCAGAAAGCAATTGTTTGACTGCTTTTAGGAGTACCCCAGTAGTCTGGGTACCTTTGGAAAGGAGATGAAGATGAATTCACATTCTACATGTTTCTAATTTTGCAATGCTAAGAAATTCTAAAAAGCCTGATTTAAAAACAAAATCCAGCAAGTCAACATCTTCCACCCCTAAAGTTAAAAACCAATACTGGATTTGAGCCACTTTGATTATGGTTAAACATTCATAGATTCTCATTCCAGGCTACAAGATCTATATGGTAAGTAGGCAGGAAAAGAAATCTGTCATACTACATAGTCATAAACACAGTATACAGTATTCACTTAGATAGGGTTTAGGTTTTTATTTTATTTGCCTTTTTGATCACCAATACCCTGGTTTAAATTCCGTTGGAATTTCCCCCACATGAAATTGACACAAGATTTCCCCACTCAAACAACATGATTGCTCAACTTGGGGGCAAGTGTTTGTTTTGGGGGGGGGGGGTGGAAGAGAACGCAACGCTGGCATTCAGTCCCAACTCCAAGAAAATAACTGAAAAAGGGGTGTGAGGGGGGAGAAGGAGCTAAAAAATAGTTAAAACATTTAGCAACCCCTCCCCCACACCAAAAAAAGAAAAATGAAAAAAGCATGGGATACAGGGAAAAATAATCTGATTACACACAGGGTATATATTTTTACACACACTTTTACACACAGCTAGATATAGTACATGTAAAAATATATGCTATACATACACCCACTCTCACTGAGGTGCTTTTAACACACCACTTGCACGTGTGTATGGGTATGTATATGTGTGTATGCATTAAATATACAGATCCTAATAAGTGTATATGTGCATATGTACACATACATACAGGTAGGCAGGCTGCCAGCCTGCCATTAACTACCCTCCCGTTCTTTTTATAGAAATCCCAGTCTTCCGCCCTAACACACCATATCATTACACCCCTTCGTCCCCTTGAAACAGGTCCCCCACTGCGTAGCAGCTGCTTTTTCAACAAGTGATTCTCAAGGAAAATAAAATTTGTAGAAAGGGAGAAAATAAGCATGTGTGCATGTGTGCGCGCGTGCACGCGCGTGCAGGAGGTGGCAGTGGTGTGTCACTTGTGCCACCACATCATCCTTCCAGCTCCCATCCTGTGCCTGGAGCGGGGCCCATCTTTCTTTCGGAATTGGCCAATGGAGTGGGGCCCCCATCACACCTTATTGCACACATTTGCAACTCTGCATTACATTCCATAGATCTTTTCCTCTTTCCGCTTCAAATACATAGATATGCAAACCCTGCTGCCCTACCCCTGCCCTTTGCCTCTATACCCTCCCACCCACCCCCACTAAAAGAAAAAAAAGAAAGGCTGCTTGCTAGCAGAGTGCAACAACAGTACACACTGAACAGATGTTCTCTTCGGGAGCTCTGTGGAAGAGAGGTTATTTCTAACACAGTAAACAAAGCCATGCAAAAAGTGGAGAGAGAGGGTGGATAGGGTAGAATAAGAGGTAGAAGAAAAACCCTAGGGATAAGGAAGAACAGAGCTGAGGAGAGGGAGAAAGAACGCAGCATGGCAAGTGCTCAAGGCTTCATTTTTTTTGTCGTCCTCTTCTTGTAAACAAGCTAATAATTTTCATTAGAGTGAACAAGTAAAAAGATTGAAGTTCCAAGTCTGAGGGGCTGGGGCTTCTAGGAGTCTGATCAGTCTGTTCAGCAACACCACAGCCAGTGAGAGAAAACATGAGGGGGATTTTTTTGTTGTATGGGGGTTTGGTTTTTTTTAAATCTTCATTACTTAACGCTGAGAGAAAAAAAGCCAAATTGGGAGCCCTTTGTCAGGTTGGCTCAATGTCTCTAGACCGAATAAATCACGCTAAGTTTAGAGAATTTTTTTTTCCTTTTTAATGATTTAGAAAAACACGTGTTTCCTTCCTCTTCCCCTTTTCTCAAAGACGGGTTTGTGCCTCAGGGACGTAGATTTCAATGCTGTCCGCGCTCTCCGTGGCAGAATTCTGCCGGACAGAGGCAGCCCGCTTGGCTGCCATGAGACGCTTGCGAGCTTCCTGGCGTTGCTTATCCACAGAGTCAGAGGCTTTGTCCCGGTTCAGTGGGGTTTTGGGCTTGGCTGGCTTCTTTGGCACTGGAGGGGGTGGTTTCTTCTCTTCCTTTAAAAAAGACAGTAAGAAGACAGACAAAACATAAAATAGAAATGCACATACAAAAGTTCTCTCTTTCTTGAGACAACAAGGAAAGAGGATGATTTGTGGCCCAAAGGGGGATACACCTTTCAGCAAGTGTATGCGGAAAAAGGATTCTGGCCCAAGATTCTTGTTATTACTCCCTGCCTTCCCACATAACAGACGATGCAGAATCCCACCCTGGGAAGAAGATCTGGGTTTGCAGGTTGTTCTTAGGGCTTAATGATGAGTCAAGAGCATGCTGAGTAGACTTAAAGAGGCAGAACAGCAGTGTGCAATACAAGCTTTAAAACAAATAAAAGGAAGTTCTTCTTCACACAGGGCATAGTCAATCTGTGGAACTCCTTGCCTGAGGAGGTTATGAAGGCTAGGACTATAACAGGGTTTAAAAGAGAACTAGATAAATTCATGGAGGTTAAGTCCATTAATGGCTATTAGCCAGGATGGGTAAGGAATGGTCTCCCTAGCCTCTCTTTGTCAGAGGGTGGAGATGGATGGCAAGAGAGAGATCACTTGATCATTACCTGTTCGATTCAGTCCCTCTGGGACACCTGGCATTGGCCACTGTCGGCAGACAGGGTATTGGGCCGGATGGACCTTTGGCCTGACCCAGTACGGCCATTCTTACGTTATTATATGTTCTTAAGCTTTATAATACACGAGCAGTGACTCATGCACACCCACATCACACAACTGATGTAGGATGCATGCATAGAAATAAAGCACACGCTTGGGTTTAAAGTGACATGGTTTTCGCAGGCACTGATTACAGCCTGCTCAGTATAAACTTAGCCTCTTTATCCAACACATTTAATAAAAAGCTTGTCACCTCCCGCTATGTAAATGTGCACCCTTTACTCAGCCACCCTTTACCCCAAACAGTTTTTTCCTGAAGGTTTCAGCAGTTTAAAAATCCACCATTTCATTTTATCCTATAGGAATCTTCTTGATCCAATTCACAGGAGATTAGGTGTATGTGTAGGGGGAGACTTCTTTCTGTTTCTGAACATGCACTATTTTAATTACATGCATTGAAGTACAGAGTATGCAGAAAACAGAAGCAGTCCCAGAAATCTAATCCATGAGACTGTAGGTTAAGAACACAGAGCTATAACAGAAGGGCTGTTGCTGACTCAGCAGAGAACACAATATTTTGGTCACTCTTAACTGCCCCATGCTCACCTTCTTCTCTGGTGTTTCTGCCAATTGCCAGCTGTTAGCCTTTAGGTGGTAGAGCTCATCAAATTTCATGCTGATGTCTTCAATGGACAACTGCAAGAGATCCCAAAACCCAGCGAGATCCTGGGCTGTGGGTCTGGGATTGGCATTGGGGTTCTGCAAGGGAGAGCATAGCAACAAGAGAATAATCAGAAACGGCATGTCACTGAAGTCATGAGATTGCGGTAGTCTGTGCCCCCCGCATCCCCCTCCTGTTCTGAAATGTGATTTGTCCTTTTCATATGTGTTCATTTTTTTAAATTGTATCCTTTGGTATATATGGTTGTGACTATTTTCTTCCACTATTTGATCTGAGGAAGTGGGTCCGGCCCACGAAAGCTCATCATCTAATAAACCATCTTGTTAGTCTTTAAAGTGCTACATTGTCCTGCATTTTGCTTCAGCTACCCCAGACTAACACGGCTACATTTCTATCACTGTTCTTTTTACAGACATTCTTATACTGTACTCATCAACAGGGCTCAACAAGTAATACAATCTACTTGCCCGTGGCGAGTAGATTTTAACCCGGAAGAGCCGGATTTGGGTGATTTGCGCATGCACAGATCGCCGGACAGCACGGCTGGCGAGCGGGGCTTGCCGTGGTTCGGTGAGCCCTGCTCATCAACTTAGTATGAGCACATTTCAACAGCAGATTAAGCAATGAAACAAGATGTGCATATAGTGGAGTGTCTTGCAGTGGGTAGGGGGTTTTAAAATATACATGTTATGTGTTAATGTTACAGAAGTGAAAAAATTGTGCCTTGCACTTGGAGCGATGGTGGTAATTTGTGCTGTATCTTTGTACTAGGAGGAGTTCATTTCACAGCCTCTGATCAGTCCTCAGAGAAAATTCTGTCTCCCACAGACAGACAGACGTCACTCGTGAGATCTTGGCCCTGCCTGGCCAACCCTGACAACATTTACCATAAGAGAGACCCAATATAGAATCCAAGTACATGTTGGTAGCAGGAAGCAAAACAGCTGCTTAGCTTAGTGCTAATCCCACAGAGCTACCATGCCAAAATTCCTAAATTTGAATTCAGAGACCAGAAAATTTGTGGTTTCCTTTTTAGGCATCCAGATGCTATGGTAATACTTAAAACAACAAAGACTGGACAAAATGTGAGCAGACCAAATAGGATGTAGCCTGAAAACAGGAGTGCCACTTGATGCACTGAAATGCAAACAAGCTGTTCTGATGTCAGAAGCAGAAAACTCTCTCAGAAATGGAACTGTGGGAATTTAACATCAACTCAAAACTGACCTGAGAGATTCTCAGTAGAGGACAGCAGTTTCTCTAGACAGGTTCCAAGCAACCTGGTGCTGGGGCCCTGAAAAATCTGAGCTCTGCACATGTATCTGGCTTTCCCAGTGCTCAGCACACACCACTTGTGTCAGATTTTAAAAGATCTTAGCACTCAGCAGGCACCCAACATGCTGAGCTCCCAGGATTCTCTGCCAGCGCAAATGTCATTACAGCTATCAGCAGCAAACCCAGAAAGCAGTCATTTAACACTACTCCTATTTTCATGGCCCATAACTTTCCCAAGAGCGGTCCATGGGGGTTGTAGCTTGACTCCTCTCTCAGCCTGAAGGCTAAAGTATTTTCCCCAGAAAGTTTTAACAAAAGCTGCTTAGTCCTGGCTGAAGTGTTCCTTAAAGAGCTTTCATCCTGGGATAAACCCAGACATGGTGTTTTACCAACTGTCCCGTCAAAACCTCAGCCAGGACAAGCAAGTTTGCCATGTTTGAAAAAGTCTGATTCAAACAGTATTTTACAAGGAACTGGAACTATGGGCATGGTAAGGTTCCATCAGTAATGTAAGCTGTTTTCTGAGGTTTGGGGGCTTTTCACAAACACTTCCTTCCATGCTAACCCTTGGCAGTTCACCCTGAAAAGCAGTTCAGAGTAATAAAATACGTGGTTCAAACAGACACCTCTGCTGCCTACCAGGATTCTAGCCTGGAGCAAGTTTATACAAACGGATACTTCCAGCCAAATTATCCCTTCCAACAGACTGTCTACCATGGAAGTCAGTGAGACTGATGAACAGGCATCCCAGGGAAGAACATGGCTTTAATGCCGCATACCTACACCAAGAACTGATGTGAGATCTCCAGGCAACTCTTCCTTGGTTGCTGAACTGACAGTAAGTGAATGTTAAGAATGGTAGTCTCCTGTTATAGCACAGGTTGTTTAGTTTTTATTTAAAAAAAGCCATAATTCATTGCTGGCACCGGGAAATGGCCTTGCTCTATTACACACAAGAGCTGCTTCAGCTCAGCAGTACAGAGCTGTGGTTACATTTTACAAAGTTACTGTCATTTTACAAAGTTACTTTTACTTACCAAGTTTTGCTCACACAGGCCCCGGAACTGCTGGAACTTCTGTGACATTAGTAGCTGTGCGCTGCCCACTGCACTGAGGACTTTTCCTAAGACTACAGAAAGAAAAAGGAATTAAAGAGCTGTAAATTAAAAAACCCAGCTAAATGCAGCAAAGAATGTTTCAAAAGAATAAGATGCTTCTTAGTATTTATAGACATTGGCTTATACTAGTTCTATGACTGAAGCTGTGGTTTTTTACTCATGTTTTAAGCAAGCCCTGTCACTAAGGCTGTTTCCAGACTCAGGGTTTTTTTTGAAAAAAGTAGGCTTTTTTCGAAAAAACTTCCCCTACGTCTAGACTGCAGCCGCATTCTTTCGAAATTAAATCGAAAGAACGCGGCTTTTCTTTCGACAGCGGTAAACCTAATTCCACGAGGAAGAACGCCTTCTTTCGAAAGTGCTCTTTCGAAAGAAGGCGTTCTTGAAAGCAAACAGGCTTTTTAGAAAGAGAGCATCCAGACTCACTGGGTGCTTTCTTTCGAAAAAGCGGCTTGCTTTTTCGAAATTCCGCGTGCAGTCTAGACGCTCTCTTTCAAAAGAGGCTCTTTCGAAAGAGCCTCTTTCGAAAGAGGCTTGCAGTCTAGACATAGCCTAAGGATTGTTTGTTACAAATGGATGCATTGCCCCTGGGTCACTGTATATTTTGCTCTCCCTTGTTTCCAACCAAGGATGGCAGACAGAATCACAGCGAGTCTCTGTTGGCAGTAGAGATTCACTGAAGTTCCAGGGCAGAGGACTTGTTTTTGTGTATATTTCACAGAGCAGAGAGGACTTGGGCCTATGCTATGGGGCTAAAAATGACATTGTGGATGTTTGGTTGGGAACCACCTAAGCCTAAACATCAACATGGCTACCTTCAGTCCCTCAGTGGGAGACCTGCTGACCCAGGCTGAGTCTGCTGCAAGTTTTGATTTTTTAATGTTATGCAATGTAGGCATGCCCTTGGAAACCAGTTTGATATGCTCGAAGCCGTTCCCCAATATGCATTTAGAGAAAGTGAATTCAAGAGGCCCAAGAGTTTATTCTACATAGAAGGGAAGCTGTATTCCAGCTGCGATAGACTACTTCACTTACTGTCCAATTTGTGCACAGCACTATTGATATTGACAGCGCTGTGCTTGCTCGAACAGAGGGCACTAAAATCATTAGAGTCGAGCCTACAGCAAGGTTGAAGAATGACAAGCCTTTTAAGGCTCGATCTATCAGCAAGCCCCCACTGATGGTGCAATGCCCCTGACCGGCAGACCTCAGCTCACTCTTCCAAACATAAGAGGCTCACGAGGAGGGCAGATCAAACGTCTCTTCACACAAAGGTTCAAAACTCAGTGGTTCATAAATATCTAGGACGACAAAGTATTGAGGTTCTTCAACTGACGGCCTCTTCCTCGGAGTGCTCAGTGGCACGCTTAGGTGTGTTTGGGCTTTTTACTGTTTAAGGCTTAGCTGAAGACAAAGCAAGGGCTCTCGACTACACTGCAGAGTCACATGGCAGCAAGGAACTTGATGAGAGATCCTGTGCCTATTCATTTTCTGGGCACGAGCTGGACTCTCCACACACAACTTCAGACTTAATTCTGCATCAAAGAATTTGCTGGGAAATATCCAGTAAGAGCTGGATGGACCCAGTTCCCCTATTACTCCCTTGCTCAAATGAGTAAGGGCTGCTCAGCCTGTGTAGGGAGAGAGCAAAGGCTGGTTCCTTGATACCGCCCCAGCAAACAAGTGGGTGAGGAGGGTCCATGAATGGGACCCGCCCTGCACTGCTTGTCCAACTTGCTAGCCAGCCTAGTTGGCTTGGTGTCTGGAGGCTGGGGGAGGGGAAATGAAGGCAAAAGGGATGATGTAAGCCACCCCCTCCCTTCCCAAGTAGGGAGCAGTGATTTGTGTCTGAGTCACTCCTGGGGCAGCACAGCACGCAGCATTACACCCCAGCCTCAGTAAAAATCATGTGACCCACATTTACATTCCTAAGTAACCCCACTCTGTTTGCTTGGTATGATTCTAGAGTCATCCCACGCAGCCCCTTCCTAGCCAGCCCCACCCTTTTCCTGTGTCAGATTGTTCCAGGGTATGTCTACACTGGGATACAAGACCCACAGCATGGTCACAGCTGGCCCATTGCTTGCAGGGTTAAACATTGCTGTATGGATATCTGAGCTCAGGGAACCCTTCCCGCCCAGAGCCTGAGGCAGCTGTCCTGGCCCAATCCCTGGTTTTTATCCCGGTGCAGACGCACCCTCACTGTCAAAGAGTCTTCAAAAGTGACAAGGAGTCCTGTGGCACCTTACAGACTAACATATGCATGCATCTGACGAAGTGGGTCTTTGCCCACGAAAGCTTCTGCTCCAATACATCGGTTAGTCTACAAGGTGCCACCAGACTCCTTGTTGCTTTTGCAGATCCAGACTAACACGGCTACCCCTCTGATAAAAGTGTCTTCAGTTATTCGGCTTCATTTTTCCTAAATTTTATCCCACTGTAAATTTATGGATCAGGCCACTAACCAGCTTTCCACCCCACCATTCTCCCCAGTGCCATGCAGTTCTCAGCACTCACCTTCTTCAGAGAGATTGTTCTCTTTGGTCTCCTGGTCCATCTGACGGCACCATCCTTCTAACCTTTCTGTTTCTGCCTGCAGCAGTTTCAGAAACCAGTACCCATCCCGCCTGCAGGTTCCTGGTTGTGTCGGTTCGGACGGTGAGTTGGAGGACGTCTCGAGCCAAGGGTCTGGAGGAGGGAGAGATGAAGGCTCTAGGGCTGGGTCACTGCTATCTCCATAGGAGAGGTTTCTCTTGAACTGGGAGGGCTTGACTGGTTGCCTGGTACTGGCATCAACGCTGACGGAGTTGTGGCGTGGGGGACAATCAGCAAGACTTCTCTCAGATGATTTACTGCTTGAGTGATTGGGTTCCTGTGCCTCGGAATCGGTGTCCTGTTTGGAGGACATACTGCGAGAGTGGTTGTTCCTGCAGAAAAAGCAGGAGCAAGAGAATGAAGGGGAGCCTGAGACTGGCTGGATTCACACACTAGTGCACAATGCAATGGGTTTGTTTATGGTGTTTGCAGCTGAGCCTTGTTCTCTTCAGCCCCACCCCCTTACACACACCACACATGCAGCCAGACAAAATTATACAGCTGCCTCCTTACTGCAACAGGCCATTCAGACAAAATGACTGATGTGCATCTATAATTACATCTTGGGTTCACCTTTTATTTCAAGCTCCCATTGATTTAAGCAATTTACATTACAGAGCAAGATTTTTTTTAAATAAAAACATGTGCTGCTCAACACAGCATTTAAACATGAAATAGAGGCGAGACACGAGACTAAGCTAAATGGCAAAGCGCAGTTTCAGAGGCTAAATTAAAAGCCTGTATCTTTCACTTACCGCCACTCGTCCTCTACCTGTACCCCGATGGACTGGAATTTGGTAGTAGGTGTAGGGGGCTCCTCCTTTGCCACTGGCTGAAGGCAGTCAACCTTATTAAGCAAAATACAAACAAGGAACAAAAATGTGCTGCTGGAATTTGCATCAGAAGAGCAGGAGAGCTGCATGCACACACAAAGCAGACAGATGCTGTAAACCAGTTTGAAGACTGTTCTAGGATGGACGGCACAATAGTGCTAGCCTAAGAAGTCACCAGTGCCCCAATCAGTTGAGGCGGTCAGATTTTATTCCTGGCCCTGCGGTAATCAGACAGCCATTCTAGAGCTGACTATTGACTGCCACGATAGAAACAGCAGGTAGGGGAAGGCTTTGGTGCCTCAGAGTAGGGATGTTAAATATCGGTTAATTGAATAGTCGAGTAACCTCATGACATTTTATCGGTTAGTCGACTATTCTATAGTCCCCGAAGGCAGGGCTGGCAGCCAGTGTATCAGAGGCAGCAGCACAGGGTGCCAGGTGGGAGCTGGTCCACAAGGGGAGCCAGTTTAAAAACTAGCTCCCCTTGTGGATCAGCTGCCTGTCACCTTATGCTGCTGCTTCCGAGACCCATTCTGAGGCCTACCTGCTACGTAAGGGGCATCTGTAGTACAGAGATTCTCAAACTTCCTGAAGTCTAGCACCCTCCTAACTCCCCAACCAAGAACAATGTGGAAGTCCTGAGGAGTTAGTTGTAGCCGTAGGTGAACTCCAGGTCCTGGAGATAGGGAGGCTTGGGTCACCTATGAGCACCCTGACCACAGAATAGAGTTAGGAAGCAGTGTTCCCTCTAAGATTTTCCATCCATGAGAAGAGTGAGTTGTGTCTTGTGCACCAATATTGAGGTCATGTGCAATTGTTCGGACGGGTGCCACTGTGGCACCCAAGTTATAAACCTCTCCCTTTTCCCCTCCACTGCCACATCTCCCACCCTCCCCTCGCCCCATCTTCTCCCCTGGTGCCTGCTACTGCCCTCCACCCCTCACCCTCCTCTGCTGTGCTGGCTCCTGCCCTTCTCACTCTCCTCAGTCCTCCTGGAACCTGCCCCCTTCCCCACCTCCTCTTACCCATGCACCTGCCCTTCCCTTCTCCGGTGCCCACCCCTCCTCACACCTTCCTCTGCCCATCTGTCCTGCTTCTCTGCTCTGCCCTCTGGTGCCCATCCCTCTCCACTCCCCATGTCTGCCCTTCTGCTTGACCCCCACAATCCCCGACACCTGCACCTTCCCTTACCCCCTGCATCCTCTTAGTGCCTCCTCCTTCCCCTCCAACCTCTGCCCCCCCTTAACCTCTTCCTCCCTGGTGCCCATCCCTTCACCAGTTCTCCTCATGCCCCTCTGCGCCCTCACATATGGCTTTTTTCAGCCCCTGCCTCTCTCATGCCCACCCTCTTTTCAACCCCTCTTCTCCCAGTACCCACTCCTCCCCTCTCCTCTTCCTCCCTCTTGCCTTCTTTGGCCCTCCCCCTGTCTCTCCCAGCATCACCTTGTCCCCTCCCCTCTCCCAGACCCACTGACACCTTCCCATCCCCGCCCCTGCCTTTCCCCTGCATTGTCTCCTCTTGCCTCCCCCCCACCCTGGCATTTCTCTCTCCCCTACCGTGTCCCTTGGTGCCTCTTCCCCTTTCTTCTTCTGCCCTTGCCCCCTTCTCTACCCTCAGCATAAGCCCCTTCTCCTCACCCACCTTCCTCTTAGTTCTCCCTCTGCTCCTTCCCTAACCTTCTGCCTTCCTGATATGTACACCCCTCAACTGCCTATAGCTCCCTGGAGCCAGGGCCGTGGTGCTATTTTTAGTACCCCTGCCCTTGCCCAGGAGCAGTTTCACTGCATCCTGGCTCCAGTCCAGGTACACAGGGCAGCTGCCCGCTATGTGGACCCAACCCCAGATGCAGCTAGGGCTGAGTGGCAGCTGGGATCGGGACCATGACAGCAAAAATAGCACCGTGGCCAGTCCTGGAACCAGGGAGCTAGAGGGGGGTTGAGAGGTGCAGGTGTGCCGGGACTCAAGCTGGGGCCATAGAGCTATTTTTAGGACATATCTGGTCCAGGCTCCAGATATGGCAGCTGCCGCGTGAGCTACGTGGTGGCTGCCCAATTGCTCCTGGGGCAGTGTAGCCACCCACCACATGGTCCAGCCCCGGGAGCAGCTGGGGCTGTGGCTGTGCTGAGGGATGGGCGGGACTGAAATACTTGGTGTGGGCTTGAGCAAGTACACACCTTACAGGCAACTCTGTTAGGGAGGAGCGGACTGAAACAGATGGACTCTTTAAAAAGGAATCTTTCCCCTCCACTTGTACCTCACCTCTTTTGCTCCAACTCCCACTGTTTCTGTGGGGAAGAATCAAACAAGGTGACAATGGAATCTACTATGCCAGCTACACTCCAGCACCAGAACAATACACAACCCAATTTAAAGCCTGACGTTGAATGTACCGTCTGCACTGCCAAACTTTGAGGAAATTCAGAATGATTAACTGTAAACAAGACACACTTAAAAAACAACAAATAGTCTTTAAGGTGCTGCAAGACTAACAAAAAACATAGACGGTTATCATGAGCTTTCGTGGGTACAACAACTTCTTCAGTGGGTTGTGCCCATGAAAGCTCATGATCCCCTTCTATGTTTTTTGTTTGTCTCTAAGGTGCTGCAGAACTATTTGTTGTTCTAAGTTTTTCTAGTTACACGTTAACATGGCTCCCCCTCTGAAACTTGTGGACAAGATGTCAAGCAAGGACTAACCTGCCTGGTTTGGGTTTCGCTTCAACATAGAAGAGTTTAACTTGGTTATACAGAGATGCCTATTATGCTGGATAAAGGGCTGGTTCAATGCGATGCACAAAACTGGAAATTCTGAAGCTGTAGAAGATGCATATTAAACTGCACTTTCAGACCCATCTCACATCTGCTGAATCCACATGCTTTGCATTTAAACTTGAAGTGCAAAGGTTACTACTTTAGCATTTCAGAAGGTGACAAAACCAGGTGCTTGAGGATACAACAGATGAACATAAATGTAGGCACCAGCATCTGAAATTCTGTCCATAAGTAAATGGACAATAGATTTCGAGAATTTTTTAAAATAAACTCTAAAGTAGCCTTTGCAGGACAAAGCTTGGGTACGCTCTTCTTCCTGAGCAGTTTTCAGTGAGCTATAAAGCTAGCAACTAATTTTCATTAGTTTGCATATTCTGTTGGCTTCTAATACAGAGAACCAATATAGGTGAAAAAGGGGCGCTCCCACATACAGACTGCATCAGAGACCTGGTGCTAGAATGATTACAAATGACACAGCCCCAAACACGCTTCCGTGTTCTGTAAGAGAAGACTTTGAACCTTATATGAAGCTATGCCTTGAACTCAGGTATTGCACTGCAGGCTGACCTTAAAATAAGTATATGGCTCACAAACTCTAGCATTTGTGCACAGGTACTTTTGACAAGCCTCTTTAATGAGAATTACCCATTTAACAGAGCTGCGTTATTTTGACGCGCTGCAACTCTGGAATGAACACACTCCAGTTATTGGGAGTAACTTGTTGTATTTCACGTCAGAGGGCACTGGATGGTTAACCACTTTGTAAAACAGTATCTTTGTTTGTTTGGG